GAGGGATTGAGTTTCGGAGCCATGAGGTCATGTTGCAGCTGTACAAAGCTCTGGTGCGGCCGCACTTGGAGTATTGCGTACAGTTCTGGTCACCGCATTATAGGAAGGATGTGGAAGCATTGGAAAGGGTGCAGAGGAGATTTACCAGGATGTTGCCTGGTATGGAGGGAAGGTCTTATGAGGAAAGGCTGAGGGACTTGAGGCTGTTTTCGTTAGAGAGAAGAAGGTTAAGAGGTGACTTGATAGAGACGTACAAGATGATCAGAGGATTAGATAGGGTGGACAGTGGGAGCCTTTTTCCTCGGATGGTGATGGCTAGCACGAGGGGACATAGCTTTAAGTTGAGGGGTGATAGATATAGGACAGATGTCAGAGCTGGGTTCTTTACTCAGAGAGTAGTAAGGGCGTGGAATGCCCTGCCTGCAAAAATAGTAGACTCGCCCACTTTAAGGGCATTTAAATGGTCATTGGATAAACATATGGATGATAATGGAATAGTTTAGGTTAGATGGGCTTCAGATTGGTTTCACAGGTCGGCGCAACATCGAGGGCTGAAGGGCCTGTACTGCGCTGTAATGTTCTATGTTCTATGTTCTATGTCACATTCTACCCATCATTTCAATGATTCCCTAATTGCATACCTCTCTAATCTCTTGTTTGATGCCTTCCCTTACATCTCCGCTACTGTTTGGGGACTGAAAGCAAACCCCAGCAGCACTTTCCACATCTTGGTGTTTCCCAACTCCGCCTATAAATATTCCATATCATGATTTTCTGAGCCAATATCCTTAGCTGTTGCATTGGAAACTCCTTTACTAACATGGCTACCCCACTTCCTTTCCTGTTTGTCTGTGCTTCTTATATAATTAACACCCTGGATGTTCAGTTCTTATCTTGGGTCATTGCTACAAGGTCTGTATGATTTTGTTTTCTTTCTTTATTCATTCACGGGATGAGGGCGTTGCTGGCCAGGCAGCATTTATTGCCCATCCCTAATTGCCCAGAGGGCAGTTAAGTGTCAACCACATTGCTGTGGGTCTGGAGTCACATGTAGGCCAGACCAGGTAAGGATGGCAGTTTCCTTCCCTAAAGGACATTAGTGACCCAGGTGGGTTTTTCATGACAATCGACACTGGATTCACGGTCATCATTTGATTCTTAATTCCAGATATTTTATTGAATTCAAATTCCACCATCTGCCGCAGTGGGATTCAAACCCAGGTTCCCAGAATATTATTTGGGTCTCTGGGTTAACAGTCCATCACAACTATATTATTACCATTTATATCGATTTTCATTGCTAATTTATCACTGTTATTGTGAATGCTCCGTGCAATAGATACAAAGCCTGTAGACTCATTTTTTTAACCTTAAACTTGCCACCTTGGCTTTATTTTGCACTTTGGCTCCGTTTGTTTTTCTCCCTTGTTTTTTTCTGCCTTCCATGTTTGCTCCTCTACCTTTCTGTCTACTGTCTCTCTGCTCAGGTTTCCACACCCCTCCCATTCTAGTTTGAACCCTCCCCAAACAGCACAAGAAAGCAGGGCCCTTGAGGAAGCATGCACGTTCTCACTGTTTTACATACGTACACACACTCACGTACAGATTTACACACTCAATACTGAGCAGCCTACCAGGACCAAAACCCAGTAAAACTGGTGTGTGAGACAATACTGATCTGACCCATCTTATGTCCTTTGGTGCTCCAGTAGCTTCATTTCCAATTGTCCCACATTGTTTATTTTAACTGGCTTGAAGACGATGTCTGGCTCCAAGAGGGAGGCGATGGCCTAGTGCTATTAATCGCTGGACTGTTAATCCAGAGACACAGATAATGTTCTGGGAACCCAGCTTCAAATCCCACCACAGCAGGTGGTAGAATTTGAATTCAATAAATATCTGGAATTAAGAATCTAATGATGACCGTGAATCCATCGTCGATTGTTGGAAAAACCCATCTGGTTCACTACTGTCCTTTAGGGAAGGAAACTGCCATCCTTACCTGGTCCGGCCTACATGTGACTCTAGACCCACAGCAATTTGGTTGACTATTAATTGCCTTTGGGCAATTAGAGATGGGCAATAAATGCTGCCTAGCCAGTGACATCT